AAGGGGGAATATCTTGTGTGCTATGTATCCTGGCCAAAGCAAGTTGTCTGAGAATAACCGTTCACTAAAATAACACCAGTATATTTAAATTATCATTTTCACGTGGAATATTTCATAAAGTCAGTTGTATACCTCAACAGTTTGCTACAGAAATATTATCTAAACATTTTTTCAATGAAATTAATGTTAAGTGCTAAGTAGAACTTTATATCTCAGAGGTACCATCTTAGATAACAATCTAAAGAAGTTAAATTGTCCACCAAAAATCTTTTTAAAATTTTTATTGCTGTTCAATCACAGTTTTCCCCACTTTTCCTCAATTATTCTCCCTACCCTCCCCCAACCTTCCACATTCAATCCCCCCGCACCCCGACCAATGTCTTGCCCATGGGTGCTTTTGCGTGTTCCTTGACTTGACCATTTCCCTTCTATCCCCCATTATCCCTCTCCCTTCTCCTCTCTAGAAATAAGCCAGGAGGTGAAAGACAAATAACATATGATCTCACCTATAAGTGGAACCTAATCAACAAAAAAAACCAGCAAGCAAAATATAACCAGAGACATGGGAATAAAGATCACACTGACAGTGTCCACCAAAAATCTTAAGAGGAAAAATCGACATGAGACACATGCTGCCTGGTTGCTGCCCAGTGAACCAGTTTTTATTATATCTGTTAAATATTATCAACACGAGAGAGATGGATGTGAATGTTTTTCTAAGTTGCTTAAACTGATAGATTTTAGTACTGTAAACTGTGTTAAAATGCACTATAAACTAAAATATGACAGAAGAGCTTAGAATGTGAACAAAATATAAACACATGCATCAACATGACTCTGTACGACTCAGGCACACAGTTAAAATTATTATAAAATGATACCCTTTTCAAAGGGCTTTTGTTGTATAAAATTTGAGCAATAAGTATTTTATTTCTAAAATTCTGTAATTGTTATTAAGGCATTCAATGACATTTTTTCCTAAAGAATCAAGGTTGGATCAATAAGCAATCGGACAGGAAAAAGTAAATAATAAGTGCCTGTGTGAATTATAAATACTTCAGATTTATAAAACTTACTTTACCCACGTCTCATATATATTAATTTCTTTATACCAGGAATCGAACCAGAGACCTTTTGCTTCGCAGAATGGTGCCCAGATAACTGAGCCACCCTGCTCAGGGCCATTCAAAAAGTTTTGAAATGCCAAGGGCCACTATGGATAAATTGGAGTATTTGAATAATTTAACTTTTATTAGATGCATTACTTTCAAATATGGTACTTATTTATAAGTATACTGGCTTCTAAAATAATAAGAACATTAAATTCAAGTTGAATGGACTTTGAATGGTAAGTTAACCTTTGAACACACCCATGTTCCTGACATAATAATCACTCTTTTTTCTTGGGAAACATGAAGTAAAACACACAAAAAAGGGTTGTCAGATCCTATACACAATGCCATCATCCTTCTGTCTCTATAAATAGGTTTTCTGAAAGATGCTTATAATTTCTATATTCTTACTGACACTGCTTGGAACTATTAGCTATGATGTAGGGCATTATTCATTAAAAAAAAAAAAAGAAAAAAAAGACTACTTTGCCTAAATAATATTCATGTAAAGTACAGCCTATGGCTGCATTTTATGAAGTGGTATATCATTCAAGAACCAATTCAAATGCCATCTCTGAGCCCCTCCTCCATGCCTACAGGTTCTCTCATGTTCTCTCTCTCCCTTCTTTGAACATCCCTTGTTATTTATTTTTACATTTTTTAGGTTTTCATCATTTTTACTCATGTATTGTAAAGTCTGAGTAAATGTCTTACTTTGCATGATATTAATTTAAGCTTGTATTATGGGCTCACATACTTTCATTCCCACTTTTGGTATCAGAATGTCTTACACACATACCTGTTACTAAAAATATTTTTTGAATGAAGAGATATTTGCTTTAAGTAATTCCTTTAGCCCTGGCTGGTGTGGGTGGGTCAGTGGATTGAGCACTGGCCTCTAAACAAAAGGGTCTCCGGTTTGATTCCCAGTCAGGGCACATGCCTGGGTTGTGGGCCAGGTCCCCAGTAGGGAGTGTGTGAGAGGCAACCGCACAGCGATGTTTCTCTACCTCTCTTTCTCCCTCCTTTCCTCTATCTCTAAAAATAAATAAATAAAATCTTTTACAAAATCCCTGCAAGTCAAAACATTTAAAAAATAAAAGTAATTCCTTTAAAAAAAAATCCTAAAAGGAGTTATTTAAAGACATTTTGGTTCATTTATTACTGGTACCAAAAACTTTTGTGCTTTATTATTTTTACTTTTAGACCTTTATATTACTTTTACTGTTCTTTAATAGGTATGAATTTCTTACCCTTATTTCTACCCTATTTTATTTTAATCCTCATGCAAGAATTTGTTTATTGATTTCAGGAGAGAGAAACATGGGTGTGAGAAACATCAATCAGTTGTCTCCTGCATGCACCCCAACTGCCGATCGAACCCACAACATAGGTACGTGCCCTGACCAGGAGTAAAACTCGCAAACTTTCGATGTACGGGGGCAACACTCCAACCAACTTAGCCACTCAGCCAGGGCCTTACCTTTGTTTCTAAAACATAAACTATAATGTCCTTCAGTTCAGGAACAATCTTTTAATACTTTTTATATACTCCAAGAATTCTTAATAAAGGGTCTGCTAAGCAGGAGTGTTCAACTCAGTGAATTAAATGTTGCCAAAGGATCATCTAAGAAACATTTTTAAACACCTGGCAGTCATCTCCCAGTAAAGGCAATCAAATCCCATAAAATTTGCTTACCATGGCATTGACATTTGCGTGATCTTTCCTGTTCCGAATCTGAATACAGGATATTGGCAAATCCAGTCCTACTCCAGTGGCCAGGTTCCTCCGGTCAGCAGCACTGCACTCCCCACGCCACAGCAAACTGTTATTACCAGAACCAAGTCCCAGGGAGGCCCGATAGAGATAGGTCTGAGAAAGTTTCTCAACCGTAGTGACATCTATTGTGGTGGATGATATGCAAGGATGCGAAGCCATGTTCCTTCCATATCTCAGCTCCTCTGGAGAGAGACAGCAGCTCTGAGAGCAACAACCTGGGCTCTGGCTCCACTTGATACACACAAAGAAAAGTAAGCACCCCAGAAATAAAAAAGAAATACAGGCCAGAGCAATGACTAAATAGAGGTTCTGGGCAGAAAGGTGCCCTCCTGTTTCCCATGCATCTTCAAAGTCTGGAAGGACCTGAGGGGCAGAGTTGCTCAACAGCATGCCCAGCGTGACTGAGGAGGAGAGTGGTGGGTCTCCATGATCCCGAACCACTACCACCACCCTCTGTCTGACTGCATCAGTGGGAAGAACTAAGCGAGCTGTACAGAGCTCTCCCGTATTAGCTGAAATTCGGAAAAGACTAGAGTCAGAAGTCTGAGAGATGTGATAGGAAAGCCAGGCATTGGAGCCGCTGTCTGAATCCTCTGCCACTACTTTTGTGACCAAGTGTCCAGTTTGGGCAGAGCGGGGCACAATTTCCACTGGGATCGAGCCATTTCTGGTCAAGGGAAACAAGATGACTGGAGCATTGTCGTTCCTATCTACCACGAACAAGTTGATAGTCACTGACGCACTTCTGGGAGGAATGCCACCATCTCGGGCTTCCACTTGAAAGCGAAAGCCCTTGAGCCGCTCAAAGTCAAAGGAAGTTTTGGCAGTGATAGCGCCACTGGATGCTTCTACTGCCACCAAGCTAGAGGCTGTCTGCCCTTCAGAGGTAAGATCCGACAGTTTATAGAAGACAAGGCCATTCTTCCCCAGGTCTGGGTCCTGGGCAAATACACGGCCTAGAGAGGCTCCAGGGCCATTGTTTTCGGCCGCAAAAAGTTCTTGTTCTGGTTGAGGAAAGCTTGGCGTATTGTCATTCACATCAGCAACTGACACAGTCAGTGTCCTGCGGGTGCTAAGTGGTGGCGAGCCTCCATCTGAGGCGGTGATCAGGACCTGGTATTCGCTGACCTGCTCCCGGTCCAGTGGCCCATCAGTCAGCAAACTGTAGTAATTGTCAAAAGAAGCCTTCAGCTTAAAAGGGCCTCCATTGGACATGCTACAGGTGACCTTACCATTGGGACCAAGGTCCTCATCGCTTACACTGAGGAGAGCAATCACTGTGCCAGGGGCGGTGTCCTCTGAAACTGGACTGGAGAGAGTCAGCAGGTTCACCTCAGGGGCATGATCGTTCACGTCAGTCACTTCCACCAGCAGTTTGGCGGTGCTGGCTAGACCGAAGGCGCCTTCATCCCTCGCCTCGATGTATGCTTCCAACAGCGTTTCAGGAGGACCTAGTAAAGCAGCTACCCTCACCTCCCCATTTCTGGGGTGAACGTGAAAGTGGTGTCGAAGCTTTGCTTGCGTGCTATTGCTTAAGGAATACCGGATTTCCCCATTGGAGCCTTCGTCCGGGTCCGAGGCCTGAACTCGGAATAACACAGTCCCATTGGGCACAGTCTCTGGCACCTTAGTGTGGTATACTGTGCGCTCAAATATAGGGGCATTGTCGTTTGTGTCCACCACAATGATGGTGACCTTTGCGTCTCCGGAGCGCGCAGGCCACCCCCGGTCCTGAGCGGTGAGCACCAGCCGGTGGGTGGCGTGTTCCTCACGATCCAGAGCTTTCACCAAAACCAACTCCGGGTATTCGCTGCCGTCGACCCGCGACCCCATGTTCAGGCGAAAGTGCTGGCTGGAGCTCAGGCTGTAGCTTAGCACCCCGTTGCTTCCCCCGTCGGCATCTTGGGCACTAGGGAGAGTAAAGCGGGCCCCGGGCACCAGGAACTCGGGGATGTGCAGCTGCACGTCCCCAGCAGGGAAGACAGGTGAGTTGTCATTGATATCCAGGACGTGAACGCGAATCTTGTGCAGCTCCAGCGGGTCCTGGAGCACCAGCTCATAGGTTAAGACGCAAGTAGCTTTGGCCCCGCACAGATGCTCGCGGTCCGCCGGCTCTAGGACAACCAAGCTACCGCTGGCCAGATCCACCCCAAAGTAGAGCTCCTTGTGGCTGGAAAAGAAGCGAAAGTTCCGCAAGGACAGAGCTGCTGCTGGCAGCCTCAAGTCTGCAGTAACGTTGCCGACGGCTACGCCCCGCTGAGTCTCCTCCAGCACCGAGTACTCCAGCTGTCCCGCGGCGGAGCCGCAGGAGACCCAGAAACATAGAACCGCCACCCTCCACCCCACCATCCTCCCTGTTGCCATCCTCGCTCCACCGGCGGTGACCCGGGACCATGCTCCGGACTCCCGGAAAGCGCGAGCCGTGGTAAAGAACCCGAGCCTGCCGGCCGCCGCTGCCGCTTTCTGAATCCCGGGATTGCCCGGACTAGCCGGCGGGGAGCTAGACTTGCTGGACTGGAAGGCTTGGCCGCCGTCTGGGGAGCGGGGCGGGTGCGGAGGAGCGCAGCGCCGCCTAGGGGTGCAGAGACCGGCGAACGGCCGGGGTGGGGAAGTGCGCTCGCCGTTCGCTGGCGGCAGGGATCTCGCCCGAGCCCGGGCAGCGGGGCTCTGGGCGGGCAAGGAAGACGCTCCGAGAATCTAACACATCTTCCTTTAATGGGTGAAGCCCAAAACAATTCCCCGGGGCCACCCGGGGCTTAGTCTTTATAACCTCTGCCTGAGGACTGCTTGTAACTAGGGCTGAGAGACCCTGAGCTTCTCTCACCAACTGCTGGAGAGCTCAGTCCAGTCCCCGGCGTTCGGACTCACCGCCCCACTAAGTGCCCGCGGAAGAGGGAGGAACTCCAAGAGGAACCGCGGGGCCGAGATGGCGAGAGGCACAACCTTGACCGTGAACGACCAGCCCTTCAAGACTTAAGGAAACAGCAACCCCAAACCTAGTGCTTTGGTGCATACCGTGCTCGATTTCCAACCTCTCCGCTGAGGGTTAAAGTCTCTCCTGCGCCTCAGAATAATCCCAGGAGCCACCAAGATTTCAATATAAGCATCCAGAAGGGGGCAAATTGGGGAACAGTAACCTCCCTCAAGCTTCCCCCCGGACTCTTGCTTTTGCGATGCAACAAAGTAGGAGAGCGCAAGGCTCAGGGTCCTACGTTCCACTTTTGGTGGATCATCAGTTTCTCTCCTACTGGGAGTGTTTTGCAAGCGGCTCTTAACGTTCCGGGTGAGAAAAGAGGTCTGGAGCCAGTCAATATCAAACACCAGAAACTCACAAAGATGGACAACCTATTTCCAAACAGGACTTGCGAAGTGGAAGGGATAATATTATCTCAGACTTGCGAAGTCCTGAGATACTATTCAGAGCGTGACCAGGAAACCACTCTCTATTTAGAAAACAGCAATGAGGCGGAGTAAGAACAGGCTAGATGCCCGTACTTTGTCCATTTTCGTTTTTAAGCCAGTCTCCTGCACGGAAATCCAGACAATGATCAGTTATGAAAAACAGCTGTGAGCTACAAGCACAACCTCCCAATTCTGCCTAGTACCCTACAACAAGCGGCTTTTCCTGAGATGGAGGAGAGCCGAAAGAGACTGACTTAAATTACTATTAAACACTAAATTTCTCACTCAAATCCTTCCTTTAATTGCAGTACTCAAAGTTCCAAGAACCAAAATTTGAAAGACAAAAGCTGACTACAAATCAGGAGTGGATCAGAAAACTACCTAAAAGTATTGTTAATTATTAAAGCTGAGTGTGGGATACATGGGGGTTAATTACATGGTTCTCTCAACTCTAATGTAACTTTAAATATTTCTATAATAACTTTTTAAATTACTGATTAAAATGGAGTGGGAACAGGCAGCTCCAGCATTCTGGTCTTACTACTAAAAGTAGGATTGATGACTCCTGTGAGCACTAAGAACCAATCACCTCCTGGGAACATCACAAACCTGGTCCTTCTCTCTTCCAGGGAAAAAGGGAGGACTGCAACATAAGCAGTAGATGCTCCTGTCTAATTCTTCTTTCTGAATTAAGGAACCAAGTCTCGGATGAAATTAAAGCAGGAAACATGTCAGCCCATTGAAGTGTTAGGGAGAGTCGTAAGTATAGCCATCATTGAGAATCTTCGTTAATATGTGAAATAACTCATAAAACTTAAAACATCCTTCACTAAATTTCAGAACCAAACTAATTACCTACTTCAGTGCCAGAGATTGGGATTTGTGTTTCCTCATTTTAATTTAATGCTGCTAACCAAGCTAACTGCTTTGAGGGGAAAGGTTATATATTTTTTACTTTTCCCTTAGCCTCAGGAGAAATACACCCGAGGGGACGTACCCATCACCTGGGAGGCCCTGACTTTTACCAATTGGCTTCCAATTGTACAGGGTTTAGGAATTCTGAGCCGTATCTAGGACAGTGTGTGTGGGTGCAGATTAGGAAGTGGGGAGAAGGAAAAGCACCATGACAAAAACTATTTCCCCTTCTCACACTTCTCAGTATTTTGGCTTCCTTTTTTTTACATTTCTGTGTTTAAACTTCCACTGGAGTCTAATTTCACAGGATTTAATATGTGTCAAGAATAAGCTGATAGCACTCACCTGTAGAGTTTGTCCCACCCTCTGACTCCATTTGTTTAGGCATAACTGTGATTTATGGAAAAGCAGTATTTAGGATATATTTGGAAATCCCAAAGATGAGCAGTCTCAAGAGTTTTTCCTTTTGTATAAGGTGACTAGATAAACATTAAAATTGTGGACTAACAAAATCTTTCTTTAGCAGAACCTTTTCTTTCTGATATTCATTTTGCCATTTTATGGCATTTTGCATGGTTTCCATTAGTCAGGCATTTTCGAGTTTTTAATTAAGTGCAAGTACAACTTTAAGTGGACTTGGTGCAAAAACATAGTCCTGATCACCACTTGGGCTCTGTTGCCAGGACTGTTATTTTAAATCTCTCCCACCAAACTTAGTCTTAAGCTATACATTCAAAACATTTCTAGCCATATGGATAAGCTCCTATTTTTAAGCCAGTCTCCTGAACAGAAATCTGGACAATGTGGGGAAGTCAGGGGAAGATGTCGGGGCAACATCCATATTGTTGCTCGAAGCCAAACAAAAAAAGAAAACAAACAGTACATCTAATTTCCACCAAAAAGTTTGTCAGCAAAAGAATATTGTACTTTAAACATTTCTTAGTGCTCAAGATTATTCCTTGGGAATTTATTATGTATTTATGGAAACTAAGTTAAAAAATAGGACATCACAATCACTTTAAGCAAATTTTAATCTAGTAAAATAGCTTAATAAAGTGTCCAAATCAAGTGTAACAGACCGGGAATTCTTTGTATCCCATTGTCATTCTTTCTTCACTTGAACACTTTACCATGAACACATCACTACAGAATTTCTTTCTCAAGTTTCTAATACAAAGGAACTAGTTTCTCTCCATTATACAATACCAGATAAAGTGTCTTGGACCTTGCTTCATGAATCCTCAACTCTAATGATCTCTATGCTTTGTTTACTTACTGCTTTTTATAATTATGTGCACATTTTTCAAAAATTACCCTTTTATAAAAATATTTTTTCATTTCATCTTCAAAGTGTAGCCCTCAGAACTTAAGGTCATACACCAGATTGGTTAAATCAGATCCAAGAAGTGAAGATCTAGTCCTTTGATTCTAAATACCACACATCGAGTAATGGAGGCTAAAACTGTATCTGGTGCTTAGACAGCTATGTCACAGACTTTTTAATGATGGATTGAAAACTAAAATTCACATCCAGTTTCCCCTAGGTGTAATTAAGCCACAGATGAAAATATTCTAGACTGTTATGCTTACTTTTCTGATTAAATTTTTTAAATATATTCATCACAGAATATATTTTACCTACATTCAAATTTTATATTCCTACACATTTGGTAAGCAGTTACACTAGATCATCTTCTGAGCTGCAGATGAAATGTTTCACCAAATGTGGATGAAAACGAAGACCTGTGACTATTACCCACTAACCTACCTGACATAAGTTTATTAGATGGTGTCTAAGCTGAAATAAAAATCTGACAAAGGTACTATCAACAGTCTCCAAAAGAGAATCTATGTAAATCTCATACTATATAACAGTTTCCTAAAATGCTAAACAAAATATTGCCAGATTACCACTATGATAGATGCTTAAAAGAAATTTGATTTAAAAATCTGGCAGTTTTCACAAAACAATGCATCAGAATCTCTCCCAAGAGGCTTCAGAACCAAAACACCTGGTAGTGGGCTTCAGACCACATCAGAGCATCACCCAATTAGCTCCACAAGTGGCACTCCCAAAGGGAGATCTTGAAAGGCACCAGACCCTGCTGAGGCAAATTTCACTTCATGGGGTCAGCCCTCACACAGCAGTTCATATGCTGTGGTCGGGGTCTTCCTCGCAGTCAGTCAACCTGAGGGTCAACCCCACCCATGGGGAGGCCAACAGCAATAAGGACTCAATTACAACAGGAAGGCTCACTCACCTAACCTACACAGGGACATTCCTGGAGTTATCTAGCTCAAGTGATCAGAAAGACTGTGCCATTGAGCCTCACAAGACACCAAGTATATAAGGCCACCACACCAAGACTGAGAGACACAGCAGATCTACCTAGTACACTGAAACTAATACAGAGAGGCAGCCAAAATGAGAAGACAAAGAAATACACCCAAATAAAAGAACAGAAGTAATCCCCAGAAAAATAGTTAGATGAAATGTAGGCAAGCAATCTACCAGATACAAAGCTCAAAACAATGGTTATAAGGATGTTCAAGAAATTTAGTGGGAAAATGTATAAACTCAGTGAGAATTTAAACAAATAGATAGCAAGCATTAAAAAAGACATAAAAACCATAAAAAAGGAACCAGTCAGAAATGAAGAACAAAATATCTGAGGTGAAGAATACTTTAGAAGAAACCAATAGCAGGTTAGGTGAAGCAGATGATTGAATCAGCAATTTGGAAGACCAGGTAACCCCCCCCCCAAAAAAAAAGAAAACAATTAAAGCAGCAAAATGAAAATAAAAGTTTTTTTAAGTAAGGACAGTTTAAGGGACGTCAGGGATAATGTCAAG